GGATTACTTTTTTGGGGAAATAATCAGTAATTAGTTACTGATTACTTTTTTCAAGTAACTTGACCAACACTGGTGATTACTGCTGAACTACTCGGGCTGATAGTTGGTACCTCAGTAGCCACAATGCTTGTCATTATCATCAGAAAAAGGCACGACAAGGATCTTATCATGATACCTTATTAATAACTATGCCACATTTAAGTTACTTAAAGTTAGCTCATCTTCACCTTGTCTACATGCCTAAATACACTGATTTGGTGTCACATGATGGGCTGATTAGATATTTGTATTAACAGATATAAACAGTTCCACCTAACAAAATGCACTTTCCCCACACACAACCAGACTCAAACGTTTTTTGTGATAAGTTGGATTACAGTAAAGGGCCAGACTGTAAGCTGTATATAAAAAATTTAATTAACATTTCTTTTAAACTTAAGAAACACGAAACATTTAAAATGAGAGAGGAAGACAAGTACAGAAGAGACGAAAATGACTAAGAAACCCCTAATTCCTTCTGTAACACCCATGTTTGCTTGTTGTTCGTCCTCCTTGTTTCTTTCTCATCACAACATAGCTCATGAATGTGTGTCCCTGTGACGCATTCTCAGTAGTACATTCATCATGTGTCTTCACTTCTAGTGGGAAAATATTGCTGGGTTTACTTATTCACGTCTTGGTAATCTGATATGGAATGACTTTCATAACGCACTCCTTAAACTGCCTTGTCTTATCTTTGACATCAGTTTCCTGTCAAGACAGAGCTCATCATAGCAGAAAAGGAAAACCACAGAATTAGTTTGGTGAAAATGGAAAGGTTTAAACTGCAACTGTATCAAGATCAACAACCACAAATAACCATGTGCAGAATTAACAGAAGTCTACTGGAGAACATTATCTCTAAAGCATTACATCGATGCAATCGAATTTCACAACTTTCAAATATCACACAATGAAAATAAATATAAACATTTGATATAAGATTTTATGGAAAAAAAGTTTACACTTGTTTTGACAGCACAGAGTGAATCTGGAGACGTCACATGTGTACACATCTTGTGTTCAACATTTTCACACCCACAACCAAATAACGCTGACAGGAAATGCTAGAAAGTAGCATTCGATAGTCAAGGTGTTAAGCTCAGTTTTCCACCACGACAGACACTTTTGCAAACCAGTTTTTGTCACAAACTATGCTCACGACGCAACACCTGCGTACGGGGTTGTGACAGTAATATTGAGTAATATTTTTCACAGACCCAAGCAGACAGGACACTGGGCAGAGTACAGCACCTCAACTTTAACTATAAGTTATGAAGCTGGATAACATACAGTGCTGATCTTTACAATTATTGATTTTGGTTTACGCCTGCTGTAATAAACTTTGGTAATATGAATAAATTCAATAAAGGCAACATGGAAAAAGAGGTTTATTTTACTGGAGAACTTTGTTGAACCTTTCTGTTTCTGGTTTCTGCATTGCCCAGTTACTTCTGCATTGATTGTGTAACTTTTTTTTTATGTTTATCTTCCATTTCTTTTCATCTTCCTCCTTTCATAGTTTGCTGAAGAGTAATAGGAACTTTCACTGAATGTTGTCAGTGCTGTTGTCAGGAACAGAACTTCTCTGCAGGGTAATTTTACTTTTATGGCCACGTAACACTGGAAATGTCAGGTTAGCAAGCAAGAATGGACTGCTTCATGTAACTGAACCGTCCTGCAGAAATGCAGCGATAGACTGCTAGATAGAGTGATAGAGTTAACATCAGGTGCAGTCTTTTTGCTGTAGTGGTGGAGATCACCATGCAGGTGTTTCATTTCATTCCGGTAAAGTTGTTTACATCCAAAACACTTAAGAGGTTTGCAAAAAGCAGCTCATTGTGAATGCTTGCATCTATTCCCTGCAAAAACAGCTGAATAAAGTCGTGGGTGGCAAACATAAGGCCCAGGGGCCTGAATCGAACCAGC